AAAGACCAGGCTTGCAAAGGGAGGGGAATGTCATTCCCGAAATGGAAGACACATTCTTTCAAAATAATATGTAAACTGCAAAATAATTTTTCCACTATGTATCAACTATTCTGGCATAATAATTAAACTTGCAAAAGAGGGTTTTTTTAATTTATTTTGTTCAATTGTTTGTTACATCTTACAGGCAATTATTATCCAAAAGAATTCCTAAATTCGTGCTTTAGCTATAGCCAGTTTTACTTAATCAAGGCTAAGAAAAGCAGGAAATTTACAGAAGTAGCCCTAAGCTTTGTGTTTTGAAAGAGGATCTAAAGAGGTTAATTGTGTTCATAATTGATATTCTGTAGTTAGGAACACTAGATCACCTTGTCCACAGTGTGGACAAGGCTTCTGGAAAGGTTTGTGATCATGTGAAAGATAAAATTCCTTAAGAAATGTGCTATCAAGTATATCATGTCTTCTGATGTGATAACAGAAATATGGGACAAATAAGCTGAACACTAAGAAAACTTCCTCACAGAGGAGTTTTGCCAGAGAAAGAACATCAAGATTTAGTCGTGTGACATCTACCAGTGTACCAAGGGAGGTAGTAAAATATTCGCCATGAGGGACATTCAAAATGGATAATGCCAAGGGAAATCACTAGTAAATGCACAAAAGGGTATAATCTTTCACAAAAAAAGATGAAATAGATGATCTCGGAGGTGTTCTCCACACATGGGTTTTATAGGACGCACACAGAGGCAAAGTGAGGATGACTTTTCCTGCCTGCATATGTGTGAGTATGACAAAGCACCCCACATAAAGGGAGTAGAAATGACAGTAGCACCCGAGGGCACAGGACAAACACCAGTTCCCACGTGCCTGTTGTGGAATTCGTAGATTTCTGGGAGGTTCCCAAAAAGAATTTCCTTCTTGTTCTGGAGTGCAGATGGAATCAGATGTACTAAACTGGGATTGTCCATTTCTGAAGCATACCCCTGCAAAGAGTGGAAAATAAAACCAGGCTGTTTTTACCAGGGAAGAAAAACTGTGTCTGAGACACTGAGAAGCCCCAAAGCCTATGTGCTTTTTGTTCTCAGCAGAGCATACAAAGGCTTCCCCTATGCCAGCTTCTTTGTTGCTCCAATGAATTTCTGATGCTTCTAATTTTCCCCAGAGCTTTTACCCCTGATAGCTGTGCAAACACATTTTTAACCACAAATGGACAGATTACTGGATTAACAAAAAAGATGAAATTATGTCCCTAGGATTCAAAAGCCATTTTGGTCAGGTAGGGATGGAAACTGCTAAGTTTGATAGACACATATCTTTCTGCTATACTGCTTCATTGCAAAAGGGTTAGTTTGGATTTATTTGTTGAACTGTGGTATTTGGCTTGATTATTTGGTTGTTTCTTGTAGAAACTGGATTGTGTTTCTTCAATAAAAACTTTGAAAGAAGAACATTCTGAGTGCAGATTTTAAACTCAAGAGTAATATACCAATTATCAGAGCTGTCAGCTCCCACAGATCAAATCCAACAAAGAAGCAACCACATGGTTGTAAAAAGAAACTACCCAGTCCTTCAAGTCCCACCCAAATACAAACATGATTGAGCCCTACTCAGCCTCCATCCTCCCACAGACTAGGGACCTCAGACTCTACACACAGAGAGTATGCTGGTATTCCACGAGTTTCAAAAGCTCAAGAGTTGTATTTGCAGTGTGAGCTGCTCTTTTCTGTGTTCAGACACTACATGGGACAACAAACAAGAGGGGGAAGAGGGCCTTCCTTTTTCTCAATCATTTTCCAAACCTACATTCACAGAAACTTAGTGTCTGGCCCCATGGAAACCAAGGGTGCTGTTTCTGAGGTCTATTGATAATATTTTGAAAAGGCACATTATTAACTATTCCTCTGTCCCTGACTTTGAGAACCATGCAACTTTTATCATTCTGTGGGCTGGGGTCAGAAAAGGTGCCTCTTCCTTTAAGCCCTGAGGAAAGATGTTCAAAACATCCTTCTCGTTTTCCATCTCCAAGGCTGAGCTATCTTGCTAACAAAGCCTGTGTGCTCTAAACACAAGGTGGTAGGTGAGAGTGCTCAGCCCATGAAGGATGTGCACCCGCAGTGACGACTTAGAGGTTAAGCACCAGAAGTCATTTCGAAGAGTTTCTTACCTCTATTATACTTTGAAGTTCTTCTACATAAACCCGTTCTGTTTCTATCAGCTCATTGATTATGTGGCTAAAAGACAAGAAAGGTGGAGAGTTAGAGTGTTTACCAACAGTTCAACAAAGCACACATGAAAGAAAAAACGTTATTCTTTGCATATTCTTGTTTATGCCTCTGACTACACAAAAAAACCCTCCAAAGGTCATTTCTCCATACTTCAATATTGTGCCTTGATGGTAAGCTTAAAAGTCCTAAACATCCCTTGGACTATTATTTTTTCAGCTCATTTTAAACTCCATCTTGGTTGCTTCTGTCGTTTTTATACCAACAAATCTGAATAAAAAGATTAAAAATGCCCCAGAAGGCAAACAAAAAAGGTTTCCTCTTCTAATAATAACTAACAATACTCAATAAAAAGGGATTATATTTCCCAAGGCTATGTTACGTTTCTGTTTTGCTTTCTTTTATAAAATAAACAACATTGGTGATTAGACTTCCTTTCTTGAATACATTGCAAACACAGGCAACAGGATGATGTCAGAAGTCTGAAAACATGAAAGAAAATTAGAGTAAAATATTTATACTATATTGTGGACTTTTCATTTCTAATATTAGTTCGATGCTCCTAAGGAACTTGGAGACCTATATCTTGAAGATGCCTGATTTATTTCACAGAAACATGAATGTAACCAATTCACTTTTGGACAAATAACTAATTAGATTTTAAAATAAAATTGCATTAAATACCTCAACTTTTTTTATGCCTCAGTTGTCCCATATTCTCAAGAAAATGTTCTTTTTAATACTCTTATGAACAAAGTTTTCAGGGTAGCTTTTCCAGTGGTTTGAGCAGTTTCTCCAAGTAGAAAAGGACTAACGCCTAGTATTCCTTTCCCAGTCCATGCTTCACAAGAGTCTGTAACCACACAGCTACATCAAGCAAAAACACATCACCAGAAGGACACTAGGGAGTAAAGTCCAGAGAAACTGGAGTAAACGAGAGATGCTGGGGGAGGGGAACCTCAATCCATCCCACTCCTACCAGTTTGATGCCAGGGCCAGCAATAGATGCCCAGAAACTGGAAAAGGATCACAGGTCAGCAGGACCTGAGAGCGCCTGAAGAGCAGCACAAAGGAACTCCAGCCAGTAGGACAGCTTCATCGGGGGCCCAACTTAAATGCCTCTATGCAAACGCACATAGCATGGGGAATAAACAGGAAGAGTTAAGAGACGTGCGCACACCTGCAGGGCTACAACCTTATTGGCATCGGAGATGTGGTGGGATGGCTCCTATGACTGGAGTGTTGGGATGGAGGGATACAGGCTCTTTAGGAAGGACAGGCAGGGGAGATGAGGAGGGGGTGTCGCCCTCTATATCAATGACCAGCTGGAGTGCATGGAGCTCTGCCTGGGGATGGATGAGGAGCCGACCAAGAGCTTGTGGGTCAGGATTAAAGGGAAGGCAGGGACAGGTGACATTACGCTGGGAGTCTGCTCTAGGCCACCCGACCAGGAAGACCAAGTGGATGAGATCCTCTATAGACAGATAGGAGCAGCCTCACGCTCACAAGCCCTGGTCCTCATGGGGGACTTCAACCACCCCAGTATCTGTTGGAGGGACAACACGGCAGGGCATAAGCAATCCGGAAGGTTCCTGGAATGCGTCGATGATTACTTCCTTCTCCAAGTGGTAGAGGAGCCAACGAGGAGAGGTGCCATGCTAAACCTTGTTCTCACCAACAAGGAGGGGCTGGTGGGGAATGTGAAGCTCAAGGGCAGCCTGGGCTGCAGTGACCACGAAATGGTGGAGTTCAAGATCCT